ATATATTTTGGTATACAAAAATATTTTGATGAGATTGATTGAAATTATTTCTTAAGTTATAAACAATTTAAGTTTGCAAAAAATAAATGAAATGATAGAGACAGTGTAAAAAGATAATGTAACAGAGATAAATCTATATTTCAATTATTTAAATCTTAAATAAATCTCAATTCATATTTTTATATAATAATTCTTTTTTTTGTTTTTTGAGCTCTAGAATCAATCCTCCAGACATATTCTATGAATATATTTTTTTTTTAAACTTATTGTAAATATCATTATGAAAAACTTGTTAATACGATTATAAGTAACGAGATATTTAAATAATTTTTTTATGTATAAAGTAACAAATTTAAAAATACGAATTCAGTTTTAAATATATTATATATTTTTAAGTTTAATTTTTAAAATATTTACGTTACCAATTATAATTCCATAACCATGTTTCTTATTATCCTCCCAATATCCAGAATACTTTGCTCCACCGACAGAATTAAATTTCATATCTCCTATATGAAAACAATCTAATTAAAATTTTTAATTTCGTTTTAAAATAAAAATATAATCCACCTTTGCCATGGCGCAATCCATGACGCCAATAGCCTGTGTAAGATGCTTCTTGTGGCCAAGTAAAAGTTCTGTTGAAGAATCCATTCCATACATATTCTCCATAACTAATGTATATTATAATATATATAATTTCATAATATTAAATTTATAAAATATAATTTTATAATATTAAGATGAAAAGATGTTTTATTTTATATTATATATTTTTGATTAATTATCATAAGAATTGATATTAACAAACCCGTGCATTGAACCACATTTCCATTCTCCACGATAAAAATTTCCATTGGTCCAGACCATAGTCCCGATACCATCACGAATTCCATTTTTCCATTGACCCACGTAACGAGCACCGCTTGGATAAATCCGTAATCCAATCCCATTCATCTTGTCCATTACCCAATCTCCATCGTATGAACCATTATCATCATAACGAGCATAACTTTTGTAATAAATATATTGATTGTTTAATCAACATAATAACAAGCTCATATATAAATGAGAATATATTTATAGTTTTATTATTACATCATGAAAATTTAAACATTATAACATATAAAACATTTTTTTGTATAATTTAGTAATTTTCGAATTATTTGGAACAGTCTGCATCTTGAATATATATTTGTATTTTGTATTTAATATATTATATATTTTTCTAAATTTTCTTCTAAATTCTAAAATCTTAAATAAATTTTTTATTAAAATAACGAAAAAAATACAATATAGAACATTGAAATATATATAAAAATATTCTCAATTTTTGATAGCCATGAAATCCATGAATGTTTAGGATCTTATCTTATAATCATAATAATCCAGATTTGAATTCTGATCATGGCAAAATACATAGCAATGTGAGAACATTGTCACAGAAAGAATGTAAAGAAAAGGTATTCCTATATTTTTTTTTTAATTTTTGCGTTTATTTTTACCCTACTAATATTTACATTATATGTATAATAATGCGGTAATTATATAAATAAAATTTTTAATTGATAATCAGTATACATTATATCAGTATACATTATATTTTGAAACTATAAATTAAAAGTAAGAAATATTTGAAAATAATAAAATATTTTTTATCTAGTTTTTTATCTATATTGCATATGATATTTATTTTTTATTTTTTTTTTTAAATTATAAATTTTATGTCTGCAAAATATTTCATCATATGCTATATTTTTTTTAATACTTACATATATTTTAATTTTCATATTCATGTAAAGTTCTAATTGATTCTAAGTTCTAAAATAATTATTTTGTATAACATACCCTTTACCATGTCTTAAGCCCTTATACCACTGACCAGTGTACATGTAACGATTTTCTCCATCCACCATCATTCCTCTACCATGTCGATAACCATTTATAAAATCACCCTCGTACCAACAAACATTATTCCATTCCAGTAAACCTTTCCCATGCATAAGATTTTGTTCAAATGTTCCCTGCGAAACTGTATTATTTTTAATAATAAAAAATTAAAGAGAAAATTGTTTATTATATATAACATTTTTATTTACTTAAATAAAATTTTCTATTTTTTAAAAATTTGGTCATTTTTATTTATTTTAAAAGAGTGAAATTATAATTAGAATAAAAATTATAATAAAATATACATATAATACATATAATATAATATAAATTTAACAAAATACACAATTTTTTGAAATAATATTAGTAAATTATGAATTTATGAATTATGAATTAAAAATTTATTAGATTGATAAAAATTAATTTAACTCAAATAAAATTTCAATTTTTATTAAAATATTATCAATCTTATTACATAATAATCTGATTCTATTGATTGAAAAATATATCAATGTTTTAATATAATGTCTAATATAATATCTAAGAAAATAATAAATTGAAAATTTTTACTTTATATTGAGCACCATTAACCCATCTATAAACGCCTTCACCTTCCATCATTTTCCTACTAATACGACCACTGTACGTATTATTATTAATGAATGTTATATTTGCAAATTCATCGGGCAATTTTAACTTCCAAGATAAATCCATGTTTGTATCGCTAATATATTCTTCAAATTCATCTTTTTTATTTCCATCTACAATTTCTTCTTCATAATATTGTTCTTCATCAATACATTCTTCATCACTAAGTATATCATCATCATCAATTATTTTCTTAGGTCTTTTTCTTAAATATTTACCATCCCATCTGTATTCAGTAATAAATTTTTAATAATAATTTTAATCGTTAATATACTTTATTCAATATTATAATAAACAATAATTACATTATTCATTTTCTGTAATATATATATAATATATATTATATTATATATATATATGTAATATATATATATAATTCTGTAACATATATATA